GAAAGTTGACATTTTAAACCTTAATAAAAATCGATACAGGKCTTTAGAATATCGATAGAGTATCGGGAAATGAAATATCGCGATATTTCAGTGTATCAATATTTTCTTACACCCCTGTACCCACATTCTTTTACTTCGAAGCCATGCTGTTGAACTACATTCAGAATATGGCTGGGCATTGTCTTGCTGAAATAAGCAGCATGTCCCTGAAAAAGATCTGGCTTGTGTATGTGGCTCCAAACCCAGCATGTACCTTTCAGCATTAATGGTGCCTTCACAAATGTACAAGTTACCCATGCCATCAATGAAATGTGATGCAAAATAAATTATCAATTTGTTAAGTGATGTAATTTGGTGGAAATACATTTTACTTCCACTGGCCCCATTTTTCCTCAAAGAATTATGTTTAGTTTAGTACAGCTATAAAATGACTCAAGTAGCTGTTGATTTGCATTTCAGCCTACATTTCAACTCTCCCTTGTAGTCATGGACTACAGTGACCAAAAAAAGGGTTCCTCTGAGGAGCTTAGAGTAGACTAATGGATTTTCTGAATTGAAGATTTATTGGACATGCCCCACCAAAAGGAAACCCCATGGCAAGCCCAAGCCACACTAAAGATCATATCACCGGGACTCTTAATGCCCAGAGCTACCCCTGAAAAACGTACGTCTTTGGAGTGGAGGTGGGGATCAGACAGCTGTCTTTGCAACCTAGTCCCATATGAGTAGCAGAAAATTCAGGAACTGACAAACGTATAAATTAACAGATAATTTGTTGTTGTTTTGTTCAAGAGATTTCCTAGTAAATAYATTGGGAATGTAAAGATAAGAGTTCAATCAGATAATCTGATGAAATAGTTACTTTTTACACTCAAGCTTTTTTTTTATCTGAATCACTTGTCAGTAACATTCACCTACATCAGTCAAAGAACTTGTGTAAATCCAAGAGAGGGGGCTGGTCTCAGAAGGTGGGTAGAAAAATAGGCCTCATCACTAAGCTGCTGACATAATTATAACACATCTTTATTGCCCCCGAGTCACTGGCTGTGTCCATTCACTCTAGTTATTCYGTTGTCAGAGCACTTTGTGTGATGTTACCTACATATTTGTTATCGCTGACATGCTGCAATTAGCGGGGTCCACCTCGATGATATTAATGACACACACGGCTGCAGAGGGCTGCGCTTTTTCATCCACCTGCACACACAACCAACCTGTCCCCCACGTACACACTCTTTAAGCTACAGTGCTGTCACTCTGTGGCCAGCGACTGTGGTGAATGATGGGTCTTTTTCTTCCGCCCACTGTCTGCCATTTCATTTGTATTTCTCCTCATGACCTCCTCATCCATCCATCTCTGACCTTTTTCCCCTTCCTGCTTTCCACTCCGTCACTTTGTTTGCTCATGCAACAAATGGCAGGTCTGGTGCTCCCCGCAGTTTGCAAAATGTAGAYGTACTCCATAACTTAGGCAAATGAAATTTTGTTGGTGTGTGTGCAAATAGGTCTGCTTTAGCATGTGTGAGTTTTCAGGAGGTGACGGGGGGAGGATAGACATTAGAGGACAAGGAGAGCCAGCTGATTCTTTTTCCATTACTGCCTCGTTATAAATTTCTGGGTTTCTCTGAGCATATGAATCAACTGAAGAGTGTATTTCATTTGAAATTGGAACTAATGCCCTGACTCAGACTACAAATTACTCTGCAGATATCACTGCTGCCTAGCAGTCAGAGTTGAACCATTGGCCTGTTGGACTAATTTACATTAAAGTCTTGTTTCGAGATACTTTGACATTTGATAATTGCAGAATAAGGACCAGTAGACTGCCTGCCTAATAATGTCCTGGCCTAGTTACATTTTAAGTTTTAGTTGTATAGATTAGACTGAGAGCCATGTGTTCCACTAAGAACTGCTGGATCAGTTTCCATTAATATAAACCTAAAGAGCCAAGAGTTGTAATATACATAAATATATAGACAAATTTTCACCTAATTATGTTGACCATGAATATGCTTCACACTTGATTGTTCTATTGACAAATAAAGATAAAGAAAATTAGCACTATTGTCAGCACTGCACTACCGTTGATATGTTTATATTCTTATTTGTTCATTTAACCTTTTTCTGAAGCAATTATATGAGCAGTAGGCTAGACCAATTGCAGTTATCTGCAACATATTTTACACCTTCTGTTGTTTTAAGCTCTTATTTATTTTCAATCCGTATCTACTCTTTTCTGTTGTAAAAACTTAATTTTCCCAGAGGGATCATTAGAGTTTAATTTCATCAAATGAAGACAGTTAGAACTAAGGCATTCAGTCCTAAACCATTTTTAGGCCTGATCACATTTTACTCCGCAGCGGAAAAAGCGAAGAGAATAAAGTGCCAGCAGTAAAATTTGCAGGCAGTTTTCGTACGTGCTAAATAATCACGAAGCACTTAATTCTCAAACATACAAATTCTCTTTCCTCTGTTTTAGCTGCTTTAGTTCCCTGAATGTTTTTTTTTCTTTTACCACCCAGACTGCCTCTTCTCTGTACCTTTCACTAAAAGCAGCAAAAGGACCAGAATGTACAGACTGAGTGAGTTAAAAAAAATAAAGAATAACACTGTAGACGGCAAGTTAAAGTGCAAGGCTGCAGGAGAGAGCATGAGAAAGATGGCTGTGAGATAAAGAYAGCTGAAAGGGTTCTTCAGATAGGGAAAGACAGTGATGAAAAGGTGTATACCTGAGTGGAGAAAAGATAAGGAAAGACACAGACGTGAAGAAGAGGGGAGAAGGAGAGGAAGGAGGGAGGCAACAACAGCGACATTTTGGTTGGGTCAAAGCCTTTTGACACAAGAGGGGCTGTTGTGGCTGTGGAGAGTTGCAGCTGATTTATGGGTAGGTGGGCAAGCATTAAAACTGAAGGAGCCTTTTTTATTTTTGCTCTTTAATATAACTCACTCCAACCAGGTAGGAAGTACACAAAGCTTTTTGTAAGGCCACCAATTGAAGCAGACAAATAAATACACTCAAATCACATATAAACATTTAATTTAGCATTCTTCTGAAGTAACGGAAACACATTAAAAATTCCACATGAATTTTCCATAAATATTTTAAACCTCTTCATAGAAACCTACAGAGTTAATCTAATTTGTAAAGATACAATTTTCTTTGTGCAGCGGGGAGGTAACAGCCAGGAAGGAGACTGTTGAGGTGATCAAGGAGAATGGTTCTGAGGAGAGAGAGAACTAATTTAGAAGAAAAATAAATAAATAAAAACAGAGCTTAGATGGTGGAATGGCAGGGATAGGGCGTGACGGCCAGTAGGAGTAAAACACAAATTGAAGGCAGATAGATAATCAGAGTTGGAGGAGGAGTCATGATGGGAGAAAAAGGTCGAGTGGAGATGAATGCAGTGTTTTTTTTTTGTTTTTTTTTTTTTTTTTTTTTGGGGGGGGGGGGTCCAGATGCACACAGAGTATAAAAAGGATGTCATGTGTCTAACTCTGCACCCGATCTCTCTTAAACAATGATTCTTTATCATGTTTTATGTTACCCTTTAGCTGCCACGTGATGTTTTATCTGCTCACCCGATTGAAGAGGTTTGTTATCAAGAAGCGCCACAATTTCTCCCCTTTTCTTCCCATTTTCCCCTCCTGCTCTGCGCYCGTCCTCGTTCTTTGTTTGGCCCGCTTTCTGCCAGAAGGAGGGGACAATATTTTGGACGAGCCGMGTGCTGATAAATGGATGCCAGCAGCCGCCCTGTCAGAGCGGCAGATCACTTTGTGCCACAGAGGGAGTGTGTGTGTGTTTGTAACGGAGACAGAAACACAGACAGAAAGATGTTGGCCGCCCGTTTGTCCTTGCTCGTGGCATCTGTGATTTCAGCGAGAAGTATTTTGCATCGATCCACTTGTGAAAAAGTCTGGCATCTGGATTGCTTCTTCGTCTAAGTACTACTGGGAAGACAGACTAAAACGCGCCAAACATAGATTGCTAACAATAGAATAAGGCACACATCTTTGTGGTGACTTTTATGTCAGAAACTTTCCTCAAATCCAATTAATTTTTTTATATTTCTATGAATGCAGCAGTTTTTTTTCCTTAACAAGCTTTAGAAGACAATAATGGATCAGCAATTTAAGCTCTGCAGTCTGAGATGAAGCTTGGTATTTCGATTTCTTTGATTTCCAAAGGCCAGAACAATGCCACTGTCTGAATATTATTTATGGCACAGCAGCCCTCATTAAACAGTCTTACAAGTAAAAAAAAACACAAGTTTTTCCACAACAATGGAGCCAAAACCACAATTGTTTTCTCTTTGTCTTCCTAATTATGATTTAATTAACAGCCAGAGATTATACTAACACACTGGCTCAGTGTAGTCACACAGATAATTTGGATATAAAACAAACAACACAGAGCTTAATCAGTAGTTTTGGTTTGTTTGATTTTTATTTTGCAAACTGTAAATTACACTAATACAGTGTAAGTGGTCATATTTTGATTTACTTTCTTGTTTTTTGAAGTGTTTATAGTGGATCACTTTAGTTAACATATATGTGATATTTATCATTAAAAGCAAAAAAAATACGTATTATATATAATGTTGTAGGTCTTAGGACAATGAAAGACATTTTAAACTTTTAGTTAAAACCACCAATAGTTATTTTTTACCTTTTTCTTGAATGTAAGTTTTATATTAAAATATAATTCTGATCATGTGATTAGATGATAACAAAAAGAGACAGTGTTAGGGAGACTGAAAGGGTTTAACTACCTGAAAGCAGCATAACAGATGTTAAGAACAACTRGAAAATACCCACAGGTCCTGGAGGCAAACAGAGACATGAAGTGGCTAAAAAGAAATCAGCCACTATAAAGTACCTACACGAAAAAAGGCAGGTCCTGAAGGRTTCAGCTAAATGGGAAGAACACAGCAGCAGCTTTCAGTACATATGCCCTTCCAGTTATCAGAAATCCTCCAGGTATATCAACCTGGCATCAGCAGAGCAAATCYGTGGATATCAAAAAGCCTCTCATAGTACATGAAGGGTTGTAGTCCAAGTTCAGCTCCCCGAGACTGTACAGTACCCTRCAAAAAAAGAGAATGAAGGCTGGTGAGTTTCAGAGCTGCTATCCAGGTTGAAAAAAAAACAAAAAAATCTAGAGGTACACCAAGAATATGGCCCCAGCAATAAGCTGGTAAAGGATTGCCTCAGGCAGCAAAAACTCAGTGAGGAAGACCATGAAGGTGGAATAAACTATTTTCAAACTAGAAGCACTCGGAGAGTGCAAACCTCTGCCAAGACCATTTCCCCCATCCTATAAGAGTTAATGCACAAAAGCAGAGATGGAAACACATTTGCMGAGTAAGTCCTGATGTAGTGAACATTTAAGCAGGCAGTATGCATGGAATTTCTTCACGGTGGAGTCCAATGTGAAAAAAAAAGTCAGACTCATCATCCGACGTTATTTATCGTCAAACTGGTGTCGGATTAAGCTCCTAAGTTTTCCTCAGTCACATTTCACCGTGTAAAACATCTGTTTCATCCCCTTGTATGAGTTTGTAATGGTTTGACTCTCTTTATTAAGTGCTTCCTGGCTCCCCAGTATCCAAACTTCGATGCCCGGCCAGAAGCTCTCTGTTTACAAGCCTAGTAGTGAGAAACTGTTTTGATTGGTTGTTTTGGAAATGTGGTGTGTTTGAGGAAATGGGAAAAATACGTTTCATGGTGCAGTCGTGCACTTCCTGGTCACAAAACGTTCTGTAAATGCGCATATTATGGCAAAAATTATTCATCATTAAATGTGGTTTTAACATTACTTTTATAAAGTTTGAAGTCCGTGCTGTCCAATCCAGCTCACTGTTTTTTTTACAGAAGCCCTGTGAAAGCATCACAGCTTTGCCGATCTCAGAGTGTTAAAAGATAAAGTCCTGTATCCGCATCGTGATCCGGAACATCACCAAAATTTAAAGGTGTGTTCCTTGGCCCAGTAGCCACATGTGAGAAAAATGTCATGACAATCTGTCTACAAGTGTTTGAGTAATGTTGTCCACAGACAGACCGACAGACAGACAGACCGACTGGCAGACAGACATAAAACATTACTTCGCCCTTGGCGGAGGTAACAAGTACTACCAGCACATCAAACTAAGACATGCTTTATTGGTGTGTTTATAATTTCAATGCATTCTGCTACTTTATTTATAGATTTTTTTTTTACGTATTGCATTGGCTCCATAAGTCGATCAGCTGAAAAGGTACATCCAGTTTTTCTTTGTTTGTTTTGTAGTTTTTTTTTAAATTATGTAAAAATCCTTTTAGCTGTTCATGAGATGTTTTGCTAACAGCCAGAGTTGTCTTCAAAGTTTTATTAATATATATGCTTGCATGCACTGTAGATCAGTCTCAGTTATTAACCCACCAAATCTTAAATTAATATCAGTCAAACYGACTCAGTTGTTGACATTTTTGATTTTGAAGGTCGCTCGGCTGTCGCAGCCAACTTAAATTGGGTTAACTTTAAAAGTTAATTAGTTGATGTGACACAAATAGAACTTCCTGAAAGTTTAATAAAGCCTGTTCAGTTAACACATACCCTACCTACACAGTTAATCAATAAAATAAACTAACTGAAACAGATTTTTTGATTCAGTRCTGAAATAAACTTGATCTTAGTGGCTAAAAGTCTTATGAATAATCCAAAAATCTTACTGTACRTTGTAGAATGTTCCATGTACAGATGTTTTTCATCTGCTTTTGCAGYTGGAACAGCAGGTTTACTTTAAACAGAGTAAAAACCTTGAATATGAGGCAACTGCATCAAGGATCGTCTGATCAACATGTTGAGCTACCTTACATACACCCATGATACTATTAAYGTGTGCTTAAAGTTTATGTATTAGGCTTTAATAGCCAAGCATTTTCTGACCTTGTATAGTCACAAAATTAGCATTTATTGCTGACATYTTGTAATACGCACTAAAAACCTTTCCTGCAACCCGTTTAATGCTTATTAGATAAATGTTCATGGGCATCAGATGCAGTTCTAGCTCATATCTCTTCTGGAAAGTTATTATATTAGGCAATCATCTTAAGCTATAAGTAATTTGCCTTAAATGTAAATTATGCGTTTCTAAGTGTTATCATTACTCATGTTTTGTTTTGTAATTTGGCAAATTCTTTTTTCAATGGAGGTGACCATTTTTTGTCCGTYTTGTCTGTTGCTTCGTCTCTAAATTTTTTTTCACATTTGCCTCCCTTAGTTGCCCCCAGCGTAGTTCTTAATTCATTTTCAAATGACTTCTTTTTAAGTTTCATTTCATCCCATCTCATTTATTATTTGAAGACAGACTTTGTTATGAGTGTGTATAATGATTCTGATATACATATGTTTCTTTAATAATAAAGGATCTGATGATTAGTGAGAAATCCACAGAGCAAGTGCTAACAAATAGATCTGCAGCAAATGTGCATTAGGTTTAAATTCCAGCGATGCTGTGATGTTTTTTGTATACATTTTCTTTATTTTTTTATTTCACACTTCATTATGAGGCATTATTTTCTGCATTGTTGTGGAAAAGAGAAGCTTCATCCAGATAGGTCTGTGTTTGATAATGAACAGTAAAGCTAAAGAAATATCAAACGTGTTCTCTTGGCATCCTTATCAAAGGCTTATAAGAAAGGCAAAGGAGGAAAAGAGGAAATGAAATGATATTAGTTGTATACTAGAGGAAAGCATTTTTAAAGAACCTGAAATAAAGAAAAACATACACTTGAGAGACATGAAGAATGTTCTGTTGAATTAGTTTGTGTGCATCATTTTTTTTACCAAATTTTAAGGGAAAAAAGTGTTCAGAAATTTTAGGTGTTTTCAATTTTACCCAGCATGCTTGTCTACAAAATTTAACAATCCGGTTTATTATGCATAATCAAAAAATTTACACCCTAGCAGGCGAACGCTGCCTTATTTTTTAGCAAAAAACATTAACTCTTATCCTCATTTTCACTATTAGATGAGCAGATAAAATAGATTTATCTCTTAAGCATCTCTTTTTGGGTCATAGATAAAACAGATAGTGGGTAATTAAAGCTGGTGCCATATCAGAATTAGACTTTAAGATGTTTTTTTATTATAAAATGCTAATTTAACCATAAAATACATTTTACTGGAGGAAGGCAGCAGCAGAGATTGGCTTGTGGTTGCGTCGACTTCCAACATTTAGGAGAAATAGTTCAGTTTAATTAATTTGATTAATCCTATTAATTTTTGTGTTCCGGCTCAGTGTCTGCTGGCTGAAAAAGTCGAATCTGACATCAGACTTATCAGGTATGTCATTAAAGAAATCTTTCTGGATGAAAATGATTAATTGTGGAAATTATACGTAAAACAAAATGTGGGAGACAATGTGCTATTCATGACTGAGATGTACTGAGTTTATACAGAAAGATGAATTAATAGACTTTTTTGCTACTTAACATATTGAATATTTATTTTCTGTAACTAAAAGTGAATGGAGAGAACATTATTGCTGTTGTCTGTGCAATAGTTTGAYTGTAGCATTAGCAAAATATCAAAGAAAATACTGAATGGAGTCAACCCAAGTTGAAAACCGGAGTTTTCATGAAATTCTCAGTAAGTAATCATTTGCTATACATCTACTGTACAACTGATTAACATTTGGAGTTAATTTGTTTTAAGATGGCTGTCACATCTGATCAACCTTAGCCAACAAAAAAAAATGCTATTTTGCAACCAATTGTACAGATAGCTAATCTTGTTGTGGTAGCTGAGAGTCATCCTTAACACATACTCTGAGCACCAACAGATCTCATAAGTTCTTATTATATTGCATGAAATTGTGCTCAACATATTTTATAAGGTTTGACCAAAGCAGTATAAAAGTTTGGCAGTGTGCAGTGGTGGGCACTAGCCCGCTAAAGCGCAAAACCGCTAATTGCGGACCTAAATATTTCATTTGCGCTTTAGCGGTCTTACTAATTTTTATAATTCATAAGCAGATTTGCACTTCCTGAAATTAAAATACAGTACCACTAATTATCTACCAGTCATCATTATCTTGAACAGCAGAAGGTATGGCTGTCAATGAATCACAACACACATGATCTATCCAACAGCACCCCTCCCAGATAAACACACTTATTGGAAAGGTATACATCCTTGCTGACTGTTGCTTTGGGTCACGGTTCTCATTTCCCACAATGCTTTGTATCTGCTTACGTAGCAGGAAGGCAATGTTTAGAACTCTCTGTCCCAGCTAAAACAGTTAACGTTTTGTAATCCATTCTAAAAAAAATTATGTATTGATTTATTTTACTTTACAATCGGAGCTCCTTTAAAAAAAAGTTTAAACGCTGGAGCTCAATACTTGACGTAAATGGTCGAAGCAACGGGGTTAGAGGCGCACAAGTGATTTAAAGATGTTATGCTGATGAAGACAGACATCTAGTGGTCAACTGGAGCAACTACATGGAAAACTTTCGAATCCAAGCTCTTGTTTTGAAGGGAAGATAGTTTCCTGTAATCCGTGCTTTCGTTTCCCATCATAAATCAAATCTGTCATGTACCCAGAATGCATCGCTTCAGTTTTCCAATAAACAGTTTTAAAATTACTTTATTGATGCTTCTTTAATGAAAATACACAACAAGCAAAAGAAAAAGAAGCAGCCAAATTAGCAATCCTCAACAACTTTTTTAATTTTTACACCAGGAGCTAAAGGTCTGTTTCAGGAAATCACATCCCCGGCAATCGGCGGTTGTAGGATTAAGCTGTTAAAGGGTTCATACACTGCTAGTTGGCAGTGTTGTGCATATATTGTACATGAATTATTGCCAGCTAGTAAGTGTCAAATTGAACTTGCGCTTTAAAATTAGCTTCTGCTAGTTTTTCTATGGCATAAGTGCTTTTGAGGTTGCAGACCTAAATATTTACATAAGCAATTTAGAAATTGCGAAACAAATTTTTGGATTAGAGCTGCCCACCACTGGAAGTGTGCATTATGAATGTATTGAAGAAAAGCTAGGCCTTGAATGGTTTCTCACTGCTGCAAAGTGACTCTTGTTTTCAAA